AAAAAAAAGATGAAATTATAGAACGATTGTTGAAAAATGTCGCAAAAGAAAGACCACAAACAGCGAAAGCAGCACAAAGAGTAATGTCAAGCAAATCAAATTGTGAAAATTGTCGGTGAAGAAATTTTGAAAAAAATGACAAATTTTAGTTTCAAAATTAAACTATGAAATTGATCATATTGATGATGATTGAAGTAGAAAATGCTTGAATATTAAAATATTTATTTATTATTGTTTCATTTTGATGTAATCATTTTAACCTATTTGAATCTCATTTTTTTCTTACTTTCTTTTTTTGAAAATAAAAAAATTTTTAACAAAAAGAAAAAAAATGAATGAAATTTTTAGCGAAAAAATTGTTGAAAAAACTATTATGCAAATAAATGGATAATAATGTCTTTTTTTTTCTGCCTGTTAAAGTATCCCAAAGTAGAAAATTAGTAAGTTAGGTTATCGGTACTTTTCTTTTATGATTATGAATTTTTTTTTTGAATTTTTTGTCATTCAGTTTTTTTTGTTTAAATTTAATTTTTAATTATTACAATATCAATATTCTTCGTTCTTTTTTTTTTCTTCCTCTTTTCATCATCATCTCTTATTAATTTATCCAAAAGTAACAAAAATGTAAACAATCATTTCTTTTTTCTTTTTACTTTTATCGTTTAATTAATGTATTTTGTATAGCAAAATAAATGTTATGTAACATGCAATATGCAAATTTATCATATTGTTGAATAAAGATTATTTTTGCCGATTTGATTAATGATAATTTAAGAAATGTAAAACTGCAACCAATGAAATGTGACATTGTTATCGTAATTTTGTTAATCATAGAGAAAAAAAAAAATACATCAACAATTTACTAATTTTCTAATTAAGAATACTTCAATAAAACAATGTAAATTAGATGGATGAGTAATTTTGTGTAATAAGAATAGATGAATTGGACAAAATGACGAAGTGGCATATTTTTATTTTTAAGTAGACTAAATGGGTTACTGTATGCGTTTTGTTGCAAAAGTTTCGAATAAGCTAAGTAAGTTTTCGAATTACTTTTTCTATCTATAGGCTAGTTCGAAATTTCTTTTTTGTCTTTAGCATATATATATATATAGCAAATATATAGTACTTCAACAAGCTCAAGTTCTCAGACTTGCAATACTCGAGTACAGTACGCCTGGATACAGTATCCAGGCGTACTGTGCTTCAACAAACATACAGTGCCATTGATTTCGTCATTTTTAAAATTTATCCAATGATTTAACCTACCACTAAGGTAAACAGTTAAATCCAGATCTGTTTCATCCTATATCGTAACCATAGGATCCATATACAAGAATGTATCAGTGCGAAGCAGCCATAAACAAGAAAACGATTTTACCGTAGTAGGATTCGATTTAATTTTAATCACTATTCCCCTATTACAATACATTATCTTTCCATCTAAAGTATAGCAACTATGATATGTAGCATTTTGTACCGTAATCTGTTTAATTGTGAAATAACATAAAGAGGGATAATTTTTAATTTTGATATTAGTTACTACATAATACTACAACATGTCAAATCATCACAATAATCCTATTTAAATTTTCCCATTACATTGGTTTCTTTTTTAATCAGCTATCATTAAATTTAAATTTTGGTTTAATCATAGTTAGTAATCAATCAATTAACTTAGTTAGTATTAAAAGAACTTAAGTTAATTATAAGACAGGTTAATTGTAATAAAAAAAATTTGCATCGATAAAACAAATACACCAAAAAAAGGTGCAACCAATTATTTCACCGAGAAACTTAGCTTATCATGATCCCGATATTTCTCACAACTCTTGATGTTTTATTTTTAAATAAAACATTACAAATCTTATAATTAAATACAGGTCTTATATTAAATAAAATCTTGAATTAAATACATACTTAATTATATTAAATACATATTTAAATTAAATACAATCTTATATTAAATATATATTTAATGGAAATGCAATTAAATGTATGAATTCAATTCAATATATAAATTAAATATAGATTATAGTAGAAATACAACTTTTTGAGATAAATGTATAACATTTAGCAGCACTGTTTTTTTTTCTCTTTTAATCTAATTCACAATATTTTTTTTTAAGCAAAAAAATGAAAAATGGCAAATACTTAAATTTGAGAGATTTTTTTGTTTCCTCTTCCTATCAACAAAAAAGCTAGCATTTCATTTATAGTGTGGAATTTTATAAATTAATTTTAATTAATAAAATGAAAATCATTTTATAAAATATAACCATTCAAAATTTATATTATTTCATAAAATTTGATCAAAATTTAATAAAAATGAAATTTCTTTTGGTCAAGATTTATTCGAAATTGTAGTAAAAATTATTTATTCAATCATCATCAGAATGTAAGTGAAAAGCAGTTGGTCAACAATTTGAAATGATCATTGGTGTTTATATGCATTTGAAGATGAAATGGACGAACTTTAAATTTGATCGATGGTTTTGCAGGAGAATTGGAACAAAACTTCTTCATCAGCTCTTTAAAGATTTCAATTTACAATCTTGAACTCCATTTCGCTCAAATGAACTGACACTAAGCTAATGCTTTTATCACTAACTAACTCCTTCATTTCATTTGTTTAATAATCGAAATATTACAATTTGACTATTGTTTGTGTAATATGCAAACTTTTAAATTCATTGAAATTTTCAAAACTTTCAACTCTTCAACAATTTTTGGGTTAAAATTTTTTTTTTTTTTTGTTGAATAATTCTTGAGGAATTTTTCATCAAAATAATCATTCAATTTTTAAAATTTCATCGAATTTTACAATTTAAAATAGCTTGGCTAATTGGTTATATAAGAAAGACAGCAAATTTTAAAATGGAAAATGAAGCAAATTTGTATTGAAAAGATTTTATGAAAAAAAAAGTCCGAAAAGTTTTCATTTAATTGAATTTCTATTTAATTTTCATATTATGCTATTTTTTAATTATCATTTTGTTTGAAAAATTCTTTTAGTTTTTCCTTTTTTTCTTACCCTTATATCACTAGCATTATCATTATCATTATTATTATCATTATTACTATCACTTCTTGACTGCATCGTTATTTCTTCTTCGTCTTCTTATGAAAGTTGTCTTTTTAATTTTTATGATATCAGAAAAATTTTTGAATTACTTTTTTGTTATCAAATATACTTTAATATTTTTATCACAATCATACATGCTTTTTTTCCGAATTTCCTATCCGGAAGACGAATAAGATGAAAGAAATAGTTTGAACACATGCTTTTTTTCCGAATTTCCTATCCGGAAGACGAATAAGATGAAAGAAATAGTTTGAATTTTGCACTCGACCAGTGATAATTCAACACCGGAAAGATAGATATGGTTGATAATTGTATAATTAAAATTGGAAGAAAATTTCATGCTTATTACTTTCCGGATGATTTTTTTCTTCCATCTTATTCCTTTTTCAAATGAAAAATTGGAAAAAATTTTAAAAATTTTTCCAAAGGCTTTGTTTATCAGAAGTAATCAATGGAAATATTGAATTGTATTGCATTTCCGGATAACTATAAAATATGCCAATTATAAAATTTCCAGACTTTTCAAATTTTTCCAATGATTTCGTTATCGTAGGATTGTTTATCAAAAACGTTTCACTGATAACTTTTAATATTAAAAAAAAAAACAAAAGATAAGACAAGAAAGCCGAAGGATGATAACGATAACGAACAATTGTGGGATGAAGATAAATGATAAGGAAATGACAACAATATTGGTACTAATTATGAGTAACAGTAGGACGAAGTAATTATTGCAATGATATGGATAATAATGATAATAACTATAATGGAAAATGATAAGAATTGATTTTTTTGTCCTTCCCAATTCTCTCTCTCTCTCTCTCTCTCCTCCTCTTCTTCTTCTTTTCTTCGTTT